GGTGGACATCGTTTGGTATGTGGTAATTCCTTCAAAATTCGGCCATGGCACTAGGTGACGTCACCAGAAAGTGGTATTTGTCCATTTTCGTAAATTTACTATGTAAATATAAAATTTACATGGCAGCCTACCACAACACTGATGTGGACCTTCATTGGCCCGATTGAGCAAAAGAGCCTAGGGGCAAAAGTGCAAGGTGTGCCTGGCAAATCTAGTCAAATCTGCAAAGTAGAAATAAAAAGTGTTATGCCCAGGTAATAAACCGGGCTAAGTAAATAGTCAATACTAAATAAGCCTAGCTCAGCGTCAAGAGGGACACGAGCCATGCTTAGTTCGGCCAGGGAATAGAATCGGCTCAAGGCTTTAGGTCGGCCTTAAACCGAGGTCATTTCTGCCCAGTTTAGAGGAGAGGAAAGGTTTACAGCTCGGTTGTTGAGCAAGGCATTTCTAGTCCAATCAAAAGCTAGCCTAAAAGTCACAAGCAGGTTCTTATTTCGGTCACAGTACAATTTTGGATCAAAAACACAGTTCTAGACTGGTTCAAGTTCCAGTCAGTATGTTTTTAGGTTTGAACATGTAGTTTTGAGTTTTTGGCATTTGTTCAATCTCTAGTGGATATAACACGAATATTTGGGGTTAAAATGCCATTTTTAGAGAAAAAAACATAAAGTACATCAGTAAAAGGAGAAAGAGGCATGGGCAACTTACGGATTCAGGGCATGAAAACAAATTCCAATCGACAGAAAGAGCACCAGCAAGAAGGTGAGCGAAGCAGGCGATGTAGTTGCTTAGTTTGGGACTGAAGCGTAGGAGGTGCAGGTATGGAACTCAGAATGCGAGGGTTTGCAAGAGAGAAGATGAACAGTAAGAATGATTGTTCGAAAAAAGGGTTTTGTATGACATAGAAGCAAAAATAGCGGGACTTTTCAATATTTTTTTGATAAATGTGAGATAACTGTCATAGTACGGAGGAGCAATAGGTGCGTGCCACGTGTCCTAGTAAGGACAAGATATCAGGTACGTAAAACGAAGGGCTGTACGACAGGCGCGGTTCTAAAAAAATTGAGCTACCTAAATGATAGACGCATCTCTAGTTCGGTCGGGTTGAATATTTAAGCTCAATTGGGCTGTTGCTTTTGGTTCGGTTGGGTTTCTTATTTTGGTTCAGTCAGTTTGAACATCTTAGCACAGCCTGGGAAAGCTAATCCCAATCATGCTGCGTAGATGGAATTAAGGGGCAATTTAGAGAGTAATTTATGTGTATAGTTTGGGCCGAGCTAAGACCAGTCTATCTTAGACGTTGGGCCAAAGTAAGTGTTTGGATAGCTTGGTCTTGGGTCATGTGAGTGTTAGATTGGTCAGAAATGGGCTACTGGGGGTCTGACCTGGCAATCCCAAGACCGAGCCAGGTATCCCAAGACCGAGCCAGGTAGAGGACTGTGGTGTCACTGATAAAAAAACTGAGCCAAAGACTACGGCTGCATGCGCCATCTTACGGTAAGGACTATGACAGTGTCCCCTAAAGCAGCACCAAGTTGTGTAAGCTCGGTTGAATGTGCTACAGGTAAGAGTTGCCACAATCTCACTTGGTAGGTAGTGAGTAAGGTGTATCAAGATATGCATTATCCTTGGGAGTGTGATTCCTAAGAGAACTCTGCTAAGGAGAGTTGGAGTCCTACTAGGATTGTGCCAGGTAGAATCTATAAAAGCTCATGATAAGACTTATGTACAGGTATCACAATTCTTACCCTCAAATACACAAACCTTTTGTGTCTATTGTCTAATTTGCTGACTTAGGCATCAGAGAGGTTTCCAGCAGACACCCGCTGGCTAGCTCACGTTTGTATTTTCAAGTAGTAAAACGACGACGTTTGGAGGAGTGCAAACTTGATCGACAAGATTATACAAGAAGATTATTTCGTGCTCGTACAATTTTAATTTATGGATTAACTTTATTTGAGTTAAGAGAATGATAGACATAGATTTTAGAAGAATAATGAAACAAAAATGAAAGGGAAAGATGGAGAAATGAGGGAGATAAGCTAGAGGTAGGGAGAGAGAGAGAGAGAGAGAGAAGCATTTTAGAGAGAGAAGCAACGTTTTTGGTTTTCAAAAAACTTGGGAAGAAGAAGAAGAAGAAGAAGAAGAAGAAGAAGATCAGGAATTATCCAGTGTGGTTGAGGGGGAAAATTTTTGTTTTATGGTCGTGCGACACACACTCTGTTGAAACAAACAGTTCCGTCTGAAATTGCACTTTGGTATGAAGTTTAGGTGGTTTAACTATTACAAATGAAATTATAGGGGGTTCCGTGTTTTTTAGGTAAACTATAGGGGGTTAAATTATAATTTACCCTAATATGCAATAGTGGATTCGATGAATTTGTATTATGTGATGAACTATTAAACAAAATTGTGTAATTGCACAATTAATTTCATACATTTAATTGTATTATATGTACGGATTATGAAAAATTGAAATGAAAAGTTGATAAAACTAAATTTGTGTAATACTACATATTTAAAGGACCTGCTTATTGTTTATTGTTTAAGATAAGATTGTAATTTCAACAATGTTGTTATAAATTAATGTTTATATTTATAAAATTTCTCATTTATTATTTAAATTCTTCAACCGAGTATGTATTCATTTCTTATTTAGTTGTATTTTGGATATAAACCAATTTACCCATACAAGTCTTCATTCTTTATATACATATCACATATCAATTTAAGAGTTACGTATAATTACAACATTAATAATTGATGAAAAATCACGTACAATGCACGTGCCCAACCACTAGTTAAATCAAAAAATCCAAAACTAAAAACATTTTATATATTAAACATATCGATTGCACATTAAAAGAATAATAACCATCCATTATATGATAACTATCCAAAAATAACTTTTGACAACAAATACAACTATCTATTATATGATAACTATTCAAAAATATCAACAAAAACAACCACTCATTACATGATCATCATCCAAATGCATACTAAAAATTAATTTGGTAAAAAAAAATTTAAAAAAAATGTAAAAACTTATCATTTTTGTATAATTTTATCTTTGATGATTAGAAATAATTTTTAAAAATTCAAAAACAAAATTGATATTTATTAGCAAATGTAAAATTCATTTTAAATTTTCATTTTAAATTTTAAATTTTCGCGAACCGGTTGTAGTTAATGAAAATGGAATTGATTTGGAAAACCAAACCAAAAACATATTCAAAAAAATTTTGATTTATTAATTTTTTGGATAAATTATAAATACCCATCTTAAGATTTTCTTAAAATACGAATTGTTCCTTGTAATTTTAAAAATTACTAATATCCCCATGTCATATTTTATTCTATTTTTTTTTTCACTAAATTAGTTTTTAGCATTTTTCAAATACTTTCAAAAAACATATTTCTCAAAGAGCCGTGCTAAATGCCTCGAAAAGAAAGGCGCGAATTTACCTGGAATTAGATTATTTATTTATTTATTTATTTATTCTTGATATGTTGATTGGGTTTATTTTTATTTTTATTTTTTCTCGAAAGGGTGGTTATGTGTACCTCAGAATCTAAACCCTAAATAAAAAAAAAATAAAAAAAAAACCAACACAACCCAACAAATAAAATAAAATAAAATTAAAAAAAAAAACAAACCAAAAAATAAATAATTAAAAAAAAAACAACAAAAACAACAACTTAACCTATGTGGTTTGATAAGGTTAGTTAGTTCACTTAGACTGATTGTGTGATAAAATTGACTGATGAATTAGACTGCTGGTTAAAATTTGTCAATTCCATATAATTTTGTACAAATCCCTATTATATTTTTATTTCAAATCACGAAGATAAAAATAAAAATAAAAATAAAATAAAAACCTAACAAATAAATAAAGGGCAAATTACATATACCTCCTTCGAAGTTTGACTAAATTACAGATACCCTTGAGGTTTCAGAAATAACATCCCGCCCCTGAAGTTTGTATGTTCATTACAATTTGCCCCCTGAAGCTTATATTTCATAACAAATTACCCAATAATTTGTTATGCAAATATAAAGTATTTGTAATTTAACCAGACCTCAATGGAAGTAAATATAATTTGCCCATAAATAAATAAAACCAAACTAACACAACCAAACAAATAAATAAAAATAATAATAAAAACAATCAAATCAACAGTCTGTAAATATATATATATATATAGAAATTCGAGCCAAAAATTTGAGGCCTCAATCTTTTTCCTTTCTCAAAACCAGAAACCATTCCCTTAATTTGGCCCCCCAAATCAAGATCGTATCCTGCCCCTGGCACGTGGGGAGCCAAATAGTGTTTAAAAAAAAAAAAATGGATGAAAAAGTGCAGGCCGATAGGAGGTGTTTGTTTCAACTTTTCAGAGTTAATTTATGTCTTTTAGTTTTAAAAAAATTATTCTGAACTGTTTGGTTAAACTTATTTCAAACAGTTTCTGATTCTAACAGCTTATTATAACTCAAAAAAATTGATTCTGAGAAACTGCTCACCCCTTACTTCTGATTATCAGCTTCTGCTGTGGACATGTTAATTTGTGGTTATACCCTTAAATTTTTTTATTTTTTATTTTTTTAAAAATAGAAAAAGACTCAAATGGACTATAGATTATTATTATTATTTTTTATGAGAAATTTAGACAAACAAAAAATACGAATTAATTAAAAAAACTAATTCACAACTTATTTAACAAACACTACTCAGCAACTTAAATCTATAATCCAACAGCTATACCAAACAGATTAACAATTTCTGATTAAAGTCATAATCTATAATCTGTTAAGTTATAATCTATAAACTGTTTTAACAGCTACACCAAACGGGCCAGTGAAACCAGAGTCAGGAGACACAGATATCAGGCTTTGGCTTGAGTGAGGGTTTCTTTAAGAGCTGCCTAACAAATTAAAAATACATAAAACTGATAGCAACATTTTGGACATCAGATTAATTATTAAGCATATAAATTTATACTTAAAAACAGAAAATAACAAATCGTTACTTTCAATTTCTAACAATAGTATAACACTACACACTTAATGGTAAGAAAAAAAATAATTAATGTAGGAAAATTTGGAAAAATTCAAGTTCAAGAGATATACTCTAACAAGAGCTCCGTACATTGAGCCGTCGTTCTTTTGTTTTTTATTAATTTACACCTGATCAACTTGCCACCGCAAGCCAGTTAAGCTCTTCCTCAGAATATGTTCTAGTTATTGGCTCTATCCAACTGCAGTGTAGCTGTTCTTCTGTGCCGCGAAGGTCCTTTTTACGGGTGTTACTGCCAAAGGATCCATACCTATTGGTCGCAAGACAATAGAATACCCCATCTTTTCCACAAAATCTGGGAAAATATATCTTGTTCTCCATTCCTTCTACTACTTTGGTCGATGAAAAAGATGTGGAGTGACTCACAAACAACATTTTGCTACCCAAATCAGTTACTCTCTGCCATGCCATCTCGGATTCATCCAACGTGTAAACAGAAACCCCTCTTCCCCTGTTGCCCACAAACACCGACAATAGCTTTCCATCACACTCCATCAGATAACTTTCATACACAGAATCACAGCCACGGGGTTTCTTGGGGCCATCAAGAACTGTCCAGCTCGAATCCTCTTCCTTTGGATTAAACAGCCCCAAGTTACAATCTTGACCCAAGCAGTAAAAGACCTCATTGTAGAAAACTGGATTAGTATGAGATGGTTGAAAATTTAGATTGCTATCAACCTTATCCCAAGTCCAAGATTCCTCACCACGAGAAATGGATGAAAACCAAGCTGTATCATTAAAAAGGCCGAGTATGCCAAAAACAGTACAGTCTGAGGATGTGGGCACGGAAGAGAAGGATATAGTATCAAAATAGTAACATTCAGGTAAATCTGGAAGGTCAATTTTTGCATTGGTGAAGGGATTGAAGAAGAACATAGAGCATTCACCTCTAGACATAAGCAACCAACCTCTACTGGAGAAGCGAAGCACTGCACCGGATAACTCACAAGGAATAGCCATTTGGTATGTGTCCGCATACAAGGGGTTGTAAAAATTCAAAGGCATTTTGTATCCGCGGAAAAACATGAGCCAATGAGATTGGGTGATTGGGCAATGAATTGGAGATGGCACTACTTGTTGGGAAGCAACTGATTGCCATGTTTTGCAGACATTGCGGAACCTTTTGATATCGTAAAGAAAGAGATGTGACAAGATCAAGTTCAAAAGCTCACTTGGAAGATTAGTCCAATCTCTCATTGTGGCATCCATAGTTGTATTCTCTAGCTCTGATAAATTATGCTGATCAATTAAATTCTCATCCATTATGATGACCTCCTGAAACCAAAGAAAGTAATAAAATAAAAATATTTTATATTATAAAGTGTTAACTTTCTGGTACCCTTCAGTTCAATACAGTATTTTAGATTTAGATTTCAAGAGTGAATTTGACAAGCTTTTCATATCCATCATCCAAACTGAGCCCAAGAATTATTATTATTTTTTTAACATAGAAAAGAAAAAAGGTCAGAAAATCTACACATCAGCAAGGAGTTTCAAAACTAGTATAAGATTATCAATGATGAATGATACTTGCACAACAAACAAAGTGCATACTTATAACAAATTGAATATCTAATCAAGAGTGGTAAATTGTAGATAATATTATGGAAATCATGGTAACAAGAAGACAATCCAGCCTAAATGTAATCTGTAACGCACTTTGTCATTTAGCTACTTCATATAATTACTGAATACCATATTATCTACTAACAAGCTTTTATTGCGTATTTTAAAAATTGATGATCTAAGAGTACCAAACACATACAGAGATACAATTATCTGTAAATTTTCATCCATTATGATCTGCTGAAATGTCAAAAAAAGTACTAAATTAATTTAAATTTCTGGTATCAGGAAAAAATACACTTATCAACTAGAGTTTTCAGTTATGTTAACACAAGAACATGCAAAAGTTGACCTTTTCTCAGTCAGTCTAGCTAGGCATAAATTTAACATGAATGCATGCATTAAGAGAATGTGAGCTAGCTCTACAATTATGACTCATAATTTGGGCTCTTAAAATTTGTTAGATCACAACAATTTAAGTGTTAACATGACGCTGCAAGAGAGAGGGGGTTGGATTTGATTCTTATTATTTGTCCACCACAACAGCAAATCTTTTGATACTTTTGAGCTATTGAAATTGTTGGGTATACAATGTCACTCTATATGACCGCTTCTATTAAAATAATCAGTGGTGGCCGCTATGTCAAATGCCACATAAGACATAAGTGGAACCGCTCCCTAACACTAACTAGCTTTAGGTGATTCACGAGAGCATCTCCTGCTCTAAAAATAGGCCTATGGGTGGGCACAATATCAAATGTCATAAAAGACACAAGTGAACTCCTTCCTAATAAAAATCAATTTTATGTTAGATACGTTCAGTTTCCTCTGTTCTCTTCGCGGTGGCATTAGTTCTTGTTGTTTATGAACTATAGAAACTTGCGCTAGCTTCGCCGTTTTAGCAACAAAAGGAATCAAGCTCTCATCTTTTGATTTGTCACTCCTAAAGTGACACGATCTCACGCTCCCCATGTGCCTCTTTTTTGTTGTTTTCCTCGAGCCCAAATGCTATGTCTTTGGGGCGTTTGCTCGGCTAAAGTTAGTGGATGCCTTGTTTAGGCAATAACAATGGATAGCTCGGGCAACAGAACTTTGTATATGCTGTCATTCATTCACATAGGAATCAATATCACAGCTAGGTAAATCACACTACCATTGAAACTACTAATAGGGAACAATATGTTAATTGAAATTTTAGTGAGTAGTTAGTAAAACAAATATGGATGATTGAGAAAACATTAAGAATTTATCAAAACGTAGAAAAGAAGGTTAGCTTAAGTCTTTTAGAAGTAATGTATAGTTTGTGATCTTCAATGGCAAGTGATAAATACTATACAAGAGTGTTGTCAGAATACTTTTCAAAGCTAAATCAATACTATCTTCAATATATATCTTAAATTAAATACAATACGCACAAATACTTAAACTTCTTTAGCACATGAATTAGGGCAACTCTTCTTCCATTAAAATCTGGAGAGAGAGAGAGAGAGAGGACTCACCGGACGTGGCTCTTTGCTGCTTGTTGTCGTGGCTGATTGGCTGGCCACTGCAGACACCGATGCTGCTCTGACTTTATGCCCTTCAGAATGGAGTCTAGTCTCATATATATATACATATATATATATATATATATAGAGAGAGAGAGAGAGAGAGAGAGAGTAGAGTCTGGTGAGATGGTAGTCCTAGCTTAGGGTGGTTTAGTATTCCGTGTTTGTTTCCTCTTTCGATTGGGAATGGAAAAAAATTACAAAAAGGAAAGAAGAAACAAGAAACAAGAAACAAGAAAGAAACTTTTCCTTCCATAACGGGGTTAGACTTTCTTCTTCTAGTCCAAGAATTGTCTTCCATTAGGTCACTTAAGCCTAGGAGAGCGGTTTTTAGGGGTTGGGTCTGGTCTGTTTCCATCGTAGCTGTAATTCTCCATTTGAGATCGAAAATTGAAATGATAAACCCTAGAAATCAAAGCGTAGTCCACCATCGTCGACCTTGAAGTTGAAGATGACAACAGTGGATAATCAGAGAAATTCGTGGGTACATACCCTTCTAGATAAGGGGGCTGTGTAATCGGTTTGGGCTTTTGATGGACTGAGACAGAGTGCGAAGAGATCGAGTCTCCATTGAGTCCAACCCGGGACTGGATGACAGGACGAATCTGAGGCTTGGTTTGAACGAGTGCGAAGAGACGCTATTGAAGAGAGAGAGAGAGAGAGAGAAATCTGTCGAGAGAAAAATTAGGAAAATTTTGAAATTTTTTTGAACAATTTTGTTAGTGAAGCCTAAAGTCAGTTACAGTGACATTTAACTAATTTTAATGAAATTTTTTTGAAACTTTAGTCAGACAAATTTGTTTTCTTGAAGATAACAACTTAATAAAAATTTCATTATTTTTTTCTTTCGAAACTTCATAATCATCATGAATTATATTTAATAAATCTTAGAATTCTAAAAATGTAAATTTTATACAAAACAGAGATTTAAATAAAAAGTTATTGAATTTTAAGTTTTAAAATCTATTACAAAAATGAAAACGAAATTTACTGGATGTATTTGCCTTTTTCAAGCAATAAGGGTGTTTTTATCCAAAAAAAAAAAAATTTGTAGTGTAATATAATAAGACTGAAACGTTGAAGTTTTTGTTTCGTGTTCTTAAACTAGTAAAAACTTATGATGAAGGAGCTAAAAATAAAATTTCCTAATTAATTTTTTTTCTCTCAACTATCTATTTAACTAAAAAAAATATTCTAAGCAAATTAATTTTTTTTATCCTATAAAAAAAATTAAAAAGTGAAAAAAATAATTTAAAAAAAAAAAAAAACAAGTTGGAA